ACTACACACACACACACACACACACACACACACACCACCACACACACACACATATATATATAGTTATAAAATTCTATAATTAAAATTTTTGCAGAGTATGTTTAGTACCAAAACCTCTAGCAGCATGTGCTATGCTGGATGTTGAAACCTGCGTAGTAGTCGACAGTGGTGCTTTAAGCACAACAGTTGCTGTTGTAATTGGAGGACGAGTTATGCCACAGCGTTGGAGGTTGTTGCCTGTGGGTGGTTGGCACGTTGCCTATCATTTAAAACAAGCAATGTATTGGCAACCGAAAGAATATCATCAAATTCCTATATCCTACCTAGACATTTTAGCTGTTAAAGAAAGATGCAGGCTCAGTTATAACATTAAGAACGAAGAAAAACGTCTAGGACCGAAGGCAAGAGAGCACATTAATCTTCGAGTTGATAGCTACGCGGACTGTAGACAATTTTGGGTATGTAAAAAGAAAACAAATTCGCTAATAACTCACATATAGAACATATTGAATTCACAAAGGTACATTTTGTAAAAATATTTTTCTATTTAGAGAGTCTCGCTAGGCCCGGAATTGTACATAGCTCCTGAAATGATGTATATCAGTCTGCGTTTGCCCGAAGTTATAAAGGATGTAACATCAGGATTACCAGAGGATATAATGCACGATTGCCTTTCGCATATTCTACTTACCGGTGGAAATACAGATCTTTCAGGTTTTGAACTAAGGCTTACGAAGGATTTACGTGAGCTATTACCAGAATATAGCAAGATTTTAGAAGTGAAAAGCTGTCCTGGTACGCATAGTTGGAATGTCGCAATGGGATCTACATATGTGCCTTTAGCTGTACATCCTGGTAAGTATGATTGATATCTTTTATACATACTTGTATACTATTTTATTATAATAAAATATACAAAACAATACGTGTTTACAAATGTACAAAACAATACGTGTTTACAAATGTTTACAATACGTGAGTTACAAATTACGCAATGAAAACAAAGTAGAGCATAAAAGTAGAAATATAGTTAAAGTACATTAAAAGACGTATTACTTAAAATACAGAATATAACATAAAAATATAAATAAATTTCTTTATTAAGAAATCATGTTTTTAAAACTCTTTTTAGATAAAACTCCACCAGAATATATTGAAGGTAATCCATTTTGGCTGTCACGGGAAGAATATGTGTTGTTTGGATGTGAATCTTTGGAACATGGTAATGAAGATATAATAGGTGATGCTTTATAATATGAATGATGATTACGATGAACTTCACCGTAAAAAATACGCGCATATGTAATGCATAATGACAGGAAAGTAAATGTTACCATCATTAAGTATATTTTCTCCTATATTGTCTATAAATTGGAAAAATAATTTAGATAATTGAAGGGGCCTGAAACATTCCAAAATATAACTATCATATTCACACTATCTAAGGGCACCTAAATGTGTGTTTTTCTCAAATTTTTCTATTTATAATTTATTTATTACATAATATCTTTAAAATATATACCAGATGTTCCATTTTAATATATATATAGAGTAAAATCTCTGAAATAAAACAAGAAAGTTTTACAGTTTTGTGTTGAATATTGTCGAGTCTGCTCTTAATAGAAATAGAAACTTTATATTTATTTTGATTTTAAAGAAAAAAGTTTAATATATTTTTTTAGAAATATGTATTTATATATGAGCAGACAAAAGTTTCAGAACTAACAATACAATGCACGCTTTTAAGTTTTAATATATTTTTATGATGTTCCCAACATATTTTATAAGATACGATGAAAATTATTATGAATTAGGACCGTTTTGACAAAGCTTTGTCTAAAAATAATATTCAACTATTATGTTATGCATGTAATGTGATATATTATTCTAGTATGTGCAATGTTGTCAATTTTAAAACTTTTTTGTCCAATCATGTATATCTATTATTTAAACATGATATATGAAACAATTTCCTGTCATCAAGAACGAGAAATTAACATTGCTCAGCACAAAGCAATAATGTGCATATCTTCATATACAGCTCTAATATCAGTCGATCTTAAATTTCTTATTATGATAAAAAATATTTTAAATGTTACAGTTACAAATTTGTATTGTTCTTTCTCTCCTTCTCTCTCTCTCTCTCTCTCTCTCTCTCTCTACTCTCTATATATATATATATATATATATATATATATACGTTCTTGATATATAGTTGTTGGTTGTCGTCGCGACACATTACTATTTATTACTAATACTATACATACTATAGCGCGCGCGCGCGCGCACACACACACATACATACACACTAACAATATATATATATATATATATATATATATAAATGCATAAAATAAATTGTACTTGATAACATGTTTTCTTATAAAAAATGTTTTATTTTATGAAAAAGGGACATCTTGTATATATGTTCTAAAACTGCCCCTATATTATTAACTTCGAAACTTATGGCATTTAAATTTTCACATAATAAAAAAAATTCATTATAACTATTAGTATTTTAGGATAACGTCGACGTTATATAAAGCTAATTGATGCATCAGTTGTGATGTACTTCGGTACATTCGTTACTAATTCTATCAGAATTATCATCCAGCACCTAATATTGTTGAGTGCAATGTTATATGTTGATGGCATAAATGTTTTAAAATTGCAATACAAGATTTTAGTGCCATCTGAGCAATTTAAAGCTATTTACTTTTATGTATATAGCACATGCAAAGAATTGTTTTGTATATATAGGATAAAAAAAGCTGCTTAAATTGAAAATGTACAGATCATGATATAAACGATGATATAAACGTCAAGCAAGTATTATATAATGCTAGATATAGTATTTCCAAAAATTGTTCACTATTTCGTACATTTATATCACAGAAATCTTGCCAAAAGAAGATGTGTGTGTTAAAAAAAGAAAATATAGCAACATTTCTAGTCACTTTAGATATTGACAGATTTTAAATATAGGTTCAATGAAGCGAGAGATTTCTCTTCCAAGATGAGGTAAATAATCGCACTAGCGACTTGTAATAAATAATAAGAAAAACAATGAATTCTTAGATTATATGTTTATGAAGTGTATGTATATTGTTATTATATTTTTTGTTATTGTAGAATATAATTTTATGAATAAGTTATGATATATTATTATATATAATTATTAGTATAATTATTCATAAGATATTTCATTAAGAGACTGTAATGAATTTGATAGTTGTAATTAGAGCACATATTGAGATGAGTTAAATTATTATTTAGATAAGAGTATATAATATGTAGCTAATATAAAACTAATTAAACAAAGTAGTATTGTAAATGCTATGTTATAACTGACGTTTGTATTAAAAAAGTATCTATCTAAATTATTATTGTGTTAGCTACTAGAATTCTATCAGAAGACTTACTTATAAGTGTTCTCATGGCTTCAATTCTGTAAAATGCTAAAATGTAAGTATGAAACATTAAATATGTTATACAAAGAGAAGAGAAAAAAGAGAATAGTATATATAAAGCGTAATATATATAAATATATATTGAATAAGTCACATTTAACTTGATCATCCTAGGTTATTCTGCTTAAGAAACTCATAATGATCTTTATATCTCTATAAAAAGACAAAATAGTAAAACGTGTAGATATGCTGTATTATATGCCTCTCTTAATAGCATGCAACTTTTATTTAAAATAATTTTTTATGAAATAATTAATTTATAGGATAATTTTAAGGTGGTCAAGTTAAATAAGTGACTCCATTCAGTATTATACATATATATATACACACATGCTGATATCCTATTTTCACTTCACCTTAAACGTGAAAAATTTTGCATCTTTAATATATTACGAACTCATAATAAATATATATTATACAATACACAATCTTTATAGTAAGATAGATGAAAAACATATATTTGATTTATGCAAAATATTTTTTGCATATAGTACCTCAATGTTGATTATTTTGCTCTTAGAGATTTTTTTTATAGTGTGATAAACAATAAAATTGTTTAAATGTTTAAGTCGCACATGTATACAATGATGATATAAATTTAAGATATAAAAAGATATTGTCATTTGCCATGACACCTACACCTTTGCAACGAACGGGGAATTTTAGCGTTTGCCGTACTCAAGAAATACAGCACTGCAAAGTTTTCCATTATGTAAAATATAAAAATTGCGTATACATATATACATATAAAACTCGCTGTTGCTTGTGGTTCTGTTATTTATAAGAGATGTACAACGTGTAAATAAATCTTTTTCAGATACTCTTGTGTTATGTTCAATGTGTACATAATTATGTGTGTAAGTTAGAAAATATAAATATAAAATGCAAAATATGAATCTTAAAAATATATAAAGAGAGAAGAAAAGTAGTTTAGTTTTTATTTTTATAAAATTTAGCAAATTTATATTGACATTTTGTTATAAAATACAGTTGTGATTTATTAGGAGAATTAACATCATTGTTTTCTTTTTTATATTCAAGAAAATGTAACTTACTGACTAATATACAAAAGAGAAAAAATGTTTGGTGTTTTAATATGATTATATTAACTGTTTTGTTAACAACGTTGCAAGCTTTGTAATTTTATTATATGTATTTATAAAATCATCTATAAATTTTTATCGGTTATACTACAGTTGATGAGTATAAAACGTAATAAAGAAAGATATTTGTGTAATTTCATTTCTTACTATTTACAGGTTGTGAAAATATACCTAAAATATTATACATTGTGTGTGTATATATTAACTTTAGGTCTAAGGAGATATACTTCTATGTATATATAACATTTTCGAATTAAATATAAATTATATATTTGATTTTTGTATCCAGATCATTTAGAGGAAAGTTTTAAGACTATTTAATATAAGAATATTTTATATTCACTGAGTAAACTTACATAATTAAAATATTTTAGATAAAAGAAGATATCAAATTCAAAATAGTATCAACTTTTATAAAAGATCGTATATCGCACGTGTGTAGTTAAAAAATTTAAAATATATATTATATATTATACATACATATATATTGCATGGTCTATACTTTGGTTATGTTTAAATTGTTTACATAATACATAAAGAGCAAGCGAGACTTTACAATATAACATTAATACCAACAATGCTACGTATATTACAAGTGTATTCAATATTTTCACAATTCTTGATAATAACAATTTATCCAAAATTATGAAATAGTACAAAATGTGATTCCGATTCATTTGTACATATACATTTTTACATTTTTCATCTGCTAATACCAATTTTACCAATCTTACTTTTTGCAAAATAATGCGTTGCATTATAAATAACAAATCTGCACACTGTCATAGAAATAAATTTTTATTATTTTACAGAAAAAATAAATTCAACAGAGCTGCACAGCCATCATTCTTTTTATTGAACAATGTTATTGATTTATTGGAAATAAATCTTGATTGCAAATGGATTTTATGAATTTAAAATATTTCGTACAATGTTGCATATATTTATATTGTCTTTAAAAGAGTTAAAAACAGTCCTAAATCAATGTTTACGTGTTGCAATATTACATTATTAATGTGTCAGATGACCAACAAAATTCATAGTATTTAGAGTTGACATTCATCATAATCCTGTAAGTGTCGAAATCCAAAGTATCTACAAGGCAATATTAAATATGATTGTTTTGGCAAAATTGTTGGAGAATACATATTTATAATACGGGAATACATATTTATAATTAAAAAATACTTCTTATATATGCAAAATAAACAAATGAATAAGCAATATAAATTATATTTATAGACAATAATATTTATATATTTACTTTATAGACTTTATTGAAATTAATTAGGCTTGTGCAATTCTAAATTTATGGATATTTTCAACTTTTAATATTTAATAATATTTGCAAGAATAGGGATTTTTCAAACTAATATTCCAATTACTATTTTTTTAGGATGAATACTTTAAGATATAAACTTGGCACAATTTGAACAATGGACAAGATATGCATATTCAGAATATACATAAAATATGTATTTGCATATATATAAGTTTTTCTCAATTTTATTTTCTGTAGGGGATGTTTTCTAAGATGCTTACATTTCGAGAAAATAAGTCTGTTCATTCTCTCTCTATCATGTATAATTACCACTCTAGGAAATTATATGAATTTTATTAGTCACCTGATGTTTATACAAGTTATATACAAAAATGTGTAGCCTATATGTAACTATAATTTTCAATAAAAGTTAGTCTTTCCCTTAAAACAAGAATGCAGTAGGAAGTTATTTGTCAAATGAGTAAACATAATTATGTTTCATAATATGCAGCAATCTCTATATATTAATAAATAACTTTACATAATATATATAACATATAAGCGAGCATAAGTGTAAATTATATGCTTATATAGGCGCGCATTGATTTATTAAATTATATATTTCATATATTTTTCTGAAATAACTACTTCTTCTGCATTCTTAAATTTTTTTTGCTATTCTAAAATTCAATCAAAATAGTAACCTAACAACACGAGCTCTTTGCTGGTTCTGCCTCGACTAGATTAAAATCTAACCCCCCAGGCCTAGCAAATCCAGTTTTGATACCGTCCCATCCATCTTCTACCTTGTATTCGCCAGTTTGTATCCTGTTATAAACTTCCTGTGTAACCGTTCGAAATGCTTCTTCAACATTTACCCCAGTCTTTGCACTGGTTTCAATATGATGTACACCATGTTCATCAGCAAATGCTCTAGCTTCCTCCTTTGAAACCTCCCGTCTACCACCATTAGTTACTAGATCTAACTTACAGCCTACCAAAGCAAACACAGGACGATGCGGTTCAATGTGTCTGCGAGCTTCCATCATCCATTGAGGAATATGCTCAAAACTTGCTCTATTACAAACATCATATACAAGAAGCGCTCCTACAGAGTTTCTGTAATAAGACTTTGTAATTGATCTGTAAGCAAAAACCAGATTTAATGATAGAGAAAACTTATTTCATAAGAATGATAAAGAACAAATTTCTACAAGAATACGTAGTGAATAACTACAAAAAATTTGAAAATATATCTTTATATTTTTCAATATACAGATGTACATACCTAAATCTCTCTTGACCAGCTGTATCCCATAATTGTAACTTTATCCTTGTACCATCTTTAACTTCTATTAAACGTGCAAAAAAATCCACACCCACAGTTGGATCTGAAAGCTAAAATTGTATAAAATATTAAAAATAAAGAAATCTTTTATTTTCCTGTATTACTTTCTTAATTGAAAACTAAGATATTTCAGTAAGAATTTTAGAATTATTATAGAATTTTAAGAATTATTATTCTATTAATATCTGCTTTTTCCTTAATGATAAACATTTTATTTTCAAAAAATCATATCACTATAATATGTTCATTGACAATCAATATACATCAGATTTTATACTTTTTAATTTTAAATATAATATCAGATTTGTTCTAAATTTTTTATCTTTTTTTGTCTGTAATTTTTAATTAATATTAAATAATTTATAAGTTTTAAATAAAAATGTAGAAAATATGTTATAAGCAAAGATCAGACCTATCGTTATGCAACTATGAAAAATATAACGACTCAGTCGAGTTAAGCAATCATATCTGAATACAGTAGAACAATAACACTAAATAATTTACAAAGCAAATAATAGTGAAAATATTATCCAGAATACAAAAGAAGATATTCAGGATAATTCTGATCAAACTCCAATTAATCAACGATTTCTTTAATGGATAGAATTGCTTATGACAAAATTAGACAATTCATAATCCCTGATTTAATCTTTTTTCCACATGTCAAACAACAACAGAAAGATAATTTTATTCTTGTTTACAAAACAATACAAGTCTTAACCAATGAGTTAATTGGAGTTTGGATAATTACACTTCTTATCTATCTAATCGTTCAAAACAAAGAGGACAAAGAGAGAAACATTACGTATATCGCTAAATATACATCCAGAGAAGTACGTCGAAGTTGAACTACGACGTGAAATCTGTCTAACCTAATTAAATCATCGAACCTATATAGTGACGGTACTTGCAGCGATCTCGCAGCGAGACTGCTCAGTGTCGAGAAATCGGAGTTGGACTTTGAAGCTGAACACAGGACCGCGTGTACGTCGCATTGGTGATCGCGACGTCGCGTGAGGGACGGAGATGTAAACAGGAGGAAAGCTATTGCGCAGGCAATTCCCAGCGAAGTGGTCGTGCGCGCGCGATTAGTCTGGGTTCTCGGGGATTGCTTTGCATATATGTACCTCCGCGAACTTGCCGTCGGTGAAGTATTTCAGGAGAGAACTCTTCCCGACCGTACTGTCGCCGATCAGTATCAGCCGAAATTGATAGTCGAAGATAGGCTCTACCATCTTGGCGATGTCGCGCCGAATACGCCTCCTCACGCACGTCGATAATCGGCCGCGGGCGGCCAACAAGTCGTCGCGTCGTCTCTCAGCAAATCTCCTCGCGCATCTCTCACTTCGGCTTGCCTTGTCGCGAGCGCACACAAAGTATTACAGCTGACCGTGGCATTAATCATCGGAGCCACCAACACGAGCGACCACCGTGCGCCGCGCCGCACTCACGCCTCACCTTCGCCCGTGACTCTACCTCGCGCTCGACTGCGCGCGCGCACGCGCGCACGCGCTACTGCGCACAAATCAGCACAAATCTCTTCGGCGCAGCGCGGCGTCGCGACGACGAACGTTCAAAAGTTCACTCAGTGCCTGTTTACACTCTCGTGCCTATTTGCCCTCCTCCCTCTCCCGTCATCTTTACTCTTCTTGTTCATCGAAATCCATGTATATAGGATATTTAAAAAATGGAGGTCGCTCGAAAGGTGATTGGAGACAAAATAAGAAAAAAGTTGGTATGATAGTTGACAGATTCGAAAATGTATTATTTTTAGTTATCCCCATTCTTATGCTGAAATTTCAAATTGCTTTGCTTTCGAATCTTTCTGTCAAAGTTGAAAGAAGAGATGACCTTTATGAATTTTATAACATAATTGAAGTTAAATAAAAGTTGCCAGTACTACATAGGATGCATCACGGGAAGATACTATTTGCTTAGCATCTCTTGGCAAAGTTCAGAACTACACAGTTGTGCATCCTGAGTAGTGCTAAAACAACCCGTAACTTTTATTTGAGTTTAATTACTTTATAAAACTCATAAAGACCATTTCTTCTTTCAATTTTGACAAAAAAATTCGAAAAGCAAACCAATTTCATATCTTAATGTAAAAATAGTATAATTCAAAAACAACGTATCTTAATTCCAAAACTGTTCCTATGTTCATATCAACTTTCTTTCTTGTTTTTAGATCTCCATCATTTAGATCTTCATCTTCCGGTGATTGATCTCGATTTATGAAACACTTTGTATATGTGTTCAGCATGAGCGTCAAAAGTGTAAAAAAGTGCAGTCGAAACTTGTCACTGCGATCGCGCGTGCAGTGCATTTAAATATTGCAGAATGCTTTTTATATCTTCTTCTTCTATTGGATTTCCAATATAATTTTTCGTAGCATTATGAATTAATGAAAGATTCAAGAATATGTTATGTATTATGTATTATATGTTATTGTATTATGTATTATATTGTATTGTATTTCTACTTTCTTCTTTTCTTTTTATCTGTTTTCTTTTTTTAATTTTATTCACCTATATTTAATTTTTCTTTGAAAACTTATTATAAATATAATTTTTAGCAATTATGGGAACAAATGAAATAAACAGATAAATTATATTTTAATGCCAATTTTTTTAATAACACGATATAATCTATTATTTTAATATTAATAAATATAATATATTTAATATTAATAATATAATATATTTATAAAATTGCTCGAATTTTCAAAATCCAAGAAGAAAATAAAAATTAAGCAATTATTTAGTTTTACAATTATATCTTTCCTTATATTTCTTACAAATCAAGAATAAATAATTGACATCTTGAATCTCACATTGACAAATTGTTAATTTATGCTTTTCATTTAATAATGCAAATCGAATCCTTATCGTTTCTATTTTCCATTTGATTTGCGTCATTTGATTTACGTCGATGACTCAAGTCGACTCAATCCTGACTAATTCTGCTATGGCAGAGAGTTGAATGATAAAGGGGAGGGAGAAATAGACCAAAGAGATAATCGAGGAATCTGAGAATAATATTGATGCGTCATCATCACCATATCACTATCGTTTTTTACTGATAAATCAACGCATGTATAAGTCAATATAATATATAATTTTTATTTATTTATTTTTATTATTAGAAAATTTTATTTGTTTAAATTATATATGCTACATTATTTTTCTACTTAATGAAAGCAGATCGTATGTTTTTTTCAAATGTTTTTACAGAATGTATGTAAAAAATACAAATAAAAATTATAAGTCAATTTACATTTGTACAGCAACAAAATAAACTGTTAGATTATATAAAAATAAATTAATTTCATGTATCTTTAGTTTATAGATACATCGTATTCATTTAATAACATTATGTATAATAAATTGTTTATCGTATTGGAGTTATCGACTTGCGTTCATGTCGATACAAGCGTTATAAGTCAGGCAAACGAGAAATATCTACCATCATGTTATACACTATGGATTTGTTATACAATATAGATTGGCTTAGCGACAATGTACGTGATATTTTGTACATTATTGAATAACTCTAAAGAAATGTAAAGAAAGCTATGATATACTTTTAGAAAAAGAATAAAACATGAATAAAAAATTGTAACATGCACATAGAACAGATTTTAAAGCGTGTGATCCATTTTTTCTTTTTGCAAAGTTTAAACGTTTCATTTAAAATGCAGAAACGTGCAAGAAAGCGTAGCTGAAACAAACAGATTTACTTTATCTCTCAAACTTTCTCTCCCCGCTTTCCCTCTTTGTCGCGTTTCCATGACTTATATACATATTAAACGTGTTTCTTTTTTAGCCGTATCTTTTACATTTGCACAATTCTTCTTCTTTTTCTGTATAATCTCAGTTTATAAGTAGCATATATCAATTTTACAGAAAGTATGATGTAACGCAGCTAAATAGAACAGACTCATTGTTATTTCCATTGACAATGTAATTGACCAATTAGAAGAATGGGATTTTTTATCCCATACAATGGGATACAAAATGTGTAGGAATCATGAATTTAAATATAAATCAGATGAGTAAAATATAAACATGTTAAAAACGCTTTAATTCAGAATTTTGTATTTGTATTCAATTTTGTATTCAATATTTTGTATTTGTTTGCAATAAAAGAAAATTTTTAGAGGTGTTACTTTGTACAACATTTATATGATAAATTTGCAATAATATTATTTGCAAATAATTGCAAATGAGTATATAAATGAGTATAAAAGAACGAGATTTTCATTAAATTTTGTCAGGTGTTATTTTATTAGGTTATGCAAACTATATTTACGCTCTAGATGTTCTACTTGATGCATGCAAGATGCTTTATATACACGAGTTGAATCGGCGCGACGCGCTGTTAAATGCCTTGTCGTATTAATTTTTTAACATATCACACGTGACTACTGGCGGCGAGCCTCTACAAAGACATCTAACTTGTAACACAGTTAACTCTTTCAGTGACTTGAGAAAACTAGCGATATCAACCTCTATCAGATCGAAAATTTCTTCGAATATATTTATCATAGTTAAAGAAGATAAAACATTATTAAATCAATTTGATAAAACTTTTTTTTAATGAAATAAAATTTGTATTTAAAAAAAAATAGTAAAAATACTTTTGATGAAGTAGTATTAATGAAAAGTATTATTCGAAAAAGGTAAATATATATTTATGGGTATTATCCATTGTCATGATACATTGTTAAATGCCAATGTTTCGTGAATATCGCAATTTATACTTTATCAGAGTGAGGAACAACCTGATAATATAATTATTTTATTTGAATAAAGTTACAGTTGTCTGTTCGATTTTTACATTGTATTATTTTTATTTTGTAATTACAATCTAAAATTTATTTTTAATTTATTCAAATTATTTTGTTATCACATTATTTATTACATTTAGTACATCATTTATTTAATTCAAGAATCTATTAAATATTCGAAATTATTTTCACTTTTTGATTCTTAATCACATACAAAATCTCTTTTTATAACAAAAATAAGAATTTCTTTTCTTATTTTCGCTGTTATTATTAAAAATTAAAACTTTCGTAATATTTTAGAAACAAATTTTTACAAATTAATATTACGATATTATATAAATCGCGCGCATCGATAATATTCATCTAATAATTATTCCTGAGAATCATCAAAGAGTTAAAAAAAAGAAATGGCAGAACATACACGTAAGATCTTCCGCGCAAGACCTTGTCGACAGGATATCGACGCTGTCGGGGATACGACACGATGAAACTTCGTTTACGCGCCGTTGCCGGGTGAATCGCGGCGACGCGTGAATGGCGGGCGCGCGATTGGCCGACTAACACGTCCGTCAGCGCGTCGGATTGGTCGCCGCGGCTTGTGTAACGTGACGACCGCGCGACGTCCGGGGCGAAGTGAGCCGCGAGGCGACCGTGCCTGGCCGCGCCGCGAGCCAAGCTGAACTCAGCCGCGCGACCATTCGTACGCAATACGCGACGTCGGTTGCGCGGCGGGCTACGCGCGTCGATTCCTTTTCACGGGAGTGCGAAACGCACGCCGGTCAAAACGACCGTCATTTACGATCGAATGTATACACGCATACGCAACACTCAAAATGTGATCGGGTGATTTTTTATTTTTTTGTTCTTTATTTATTGAAAGACGCTCCCGCTCGAAGGCGAAGGGAAGGATTGCCGGCGAGTCTTCGCGCCTTCACTAGGATTCATGCCGACAACGAACATGAAACTTCTATAAGGAACTGAAGGTAATTCACGTTATATTTATTTTAAAAATATATGCTTTCGTGCAATTTCTTTCCTTTTCTTCTAGAAAGAAAGCGCGAGGTAAAGAAATTTGAAAGCTCACTTCGCGGCATCGCCATTTTCCTTCCCATCTTCAAAACCGGGAATGTTTTTATTTTAATTTTTCTTACATGCGACCGGAACTGTCGAACTAATCTTCCATTTTTTAATTTTTTTCTTAGTGACGTCATTAAATGCTTGATACTTAAAAAAAACACGGACGAAACAATTACAAGCATTCTTTAATTTTAAATATAATTCAGAAATTTTTATAGAAATAAATTTTTTTAAAGAAATTGATAAAGAAGACTGATCATTAAGCAATTGTCTCATACACATTGCATCGAATATCTACAGAGGTACATACAAAAGACGCGGGTATTATTACAAAATAGAGATTCACTTATTGTTAAACGCGAGAGAATTTAAATCGCCGCGCATGGCGAAGCGCGCGATTCAAGTTTTTATCTCAAAGAGAATTCGCAAAGAGAATCCGCACATATCCTTTTCACACTCATAGTTCACTCATATTCTACATGCTAAGGATGCATGCCAAAAGAGCGATTATATGTAATATCATTTAATGATAAAATGCGTATATCCTGACCAATAAAATACTCAAGGTTGATGTTATCACATTTTTAGCGAGAAAAATAAAAAATATACGGAAAGAATAGACATTGAATATTTTATCATTTATTTTCACGCTACTCTACACGCTAAGGATACATGTCCAAAGAGTAATTATACGTGATATCATTTAATGATAAAAACATAATGTGTATATCAACAAAATATTCAAGGTTAATGTTATCACATTTTTATTGGAAAAATAGAAAAATATATGAAAAGAAAATACATTGGATATTTTATTATTTAAAATATTTATATCTAGTTTTCTTGTTTATTTTTATGCATTTTTTTATTAATTTGTTGAAAACTGCGTTCTATTAATTGTTAAATAAACTTTGGAGTTAATATTAACAACATATGATGTGATGACTTAGTCAAAATGTCATTTAATATGCCGAATTCAAGGATTTTAACGAATGGATTCTTGAAAAAGTATGCATAATGCTACATCACTTCACTTATATCTAGTTATTAATATGAAATTGATTATTTTATTAAAAATTTAACAATGCAAGATTTTTATCTTGAATTCTAACGATTTATAAAGAATCTAAAAGTATATTTGTTAATTTTATTATTTTTTTTTATTTTTTATTTTTATATTTTTATATTATATTCATATTATATTTATATTATTTGTATATTTATTATTATTTTCATATAATTAATTTGTTTGAATAAATCTGTGATTTTGATTGACATTTATTATTAGGTTTTAATTTCTATGATATTATTAGAAAAGACTGTAATTCTTAGATATTATATCTTTAAATATCTCTTATATATTTATATATTTATTTACATACCCATTCTGTTTATATCCAGAAAACGTTTATAATATTTATAAAAAAATATTGCGGTATTTTTCCATAAAAAGAGAAACTCGAATCCAAGCTCTGCAACATGTGCAATTTCAGATTTGCATAGTCGATTCGAGTGAATGGGACACAAAGCACGAATAACAAAGCCAAAGGCACAGAGAACTAGCCAATACCTACACTTGAAACAATTTTTTCATTCACACGACGTCTCGTCGGTTAGTTAACTGCGTACGTTTCTCAGTAAAAAGAATTATATACGCATAAAATTGGGTCAATCTTTGAAACTGAATAAATGTAATATTTTTATAGGTGTATTTATTTAGAAAAAAAAGCGACTAATTAAAAGAAAATGTATACAAATGCAATTCAATACGGGCTTATTATTTAATAATGTTCATCGACACACTTGAAGTGTGACGATTTGTAAATTTAATGTACTTGGAAATTAATTTATTTTTCACTTTTATCTTATTTACGTCGCGCAAACTCATCTTTCCTTTCTTCATTTATTCGAAAAAGATAAAAAGGTACAGTATATTTTTGCTTTCATGTACGTCTTTGATGTATAAAAAGTATTAAATTATTACCGCCTCCGGATGAAGAAAAGCTTCTTGGTGGGCCGTGAGCTCTCTGGAAATACAACCGCGGTCTCCACGGCCCATTGCATTGTCGCAATTCGTCGAGAAGTGTTGGGGTGTTTTTCTCATCGTAACATTAATCTCACCGTGCTTCCGGAAGATAGCCTGGATCGCGGTCGTATTGCGAGTACGTTGCCTCTACCGTGCTTAGGAGTGGCGTGAGCTTTTTGTCTACCGGTAGGTCTGGCTTTCGGTGCATCGGACAGGAGTATACTCGGATTTCTCGCGAGTTTTCATTCCACACACCGTTGACCGTCAATGATACATCGTATTATTTCGCTACCATTGGCGGATTATTCATTAGATCTCTCAGGCGTATGAGCATACGAACAGAGCCTCCAAATGAAATCGCGTTGTTTGACAACTAATATTTACATGAGAATAAAATTTGGTCGGAAATGAAGTTACGAGTAACGCGAAAATTTACAACTAATTTGTATTATCTTCTATTTCGTGAATAATATTTAGATAACGTGCCGATTGATCGGCGTTGCGTTGTTCATGAAACAATTAAACAATGTTGCCTTGTTAGATATGACATTGTTTGAATATATGGATCGCCAAGCAGTATTGAAATATAGAGAGGTATTTTTGCTTCGATAAAGCAACCGATTGGAGGGATGTCCGCGATACGCGAAACCAAAGGCATTGACCCTATAGTACGAAACCTACTTTATATAACGCATATGTACTATGCGTTCGTCGAACGAGCTACTTTTTTTTTTAAAGCGTATATGCCGATATTAGAAATTTATACTATTGCATACTAGAGCAACCTCTTCAAAGCAGAATTTTTTTTATCAAACGCAATACTTTATCGAACAATAATGTGGATATAACTTTAACATATATTTATTGAAACGAAGTTCTATCAGATCTCGCTTTGTTAGCTCACAAGTGTTGAACTCTCTTCATCGTCGTGATGAAGTTGCGAAGTTGACCGATTGCGAAGTGCAAGAAAACCGAGGACTCGAGGGATCCAACAATGTTGCACTGTTTCGCATCTGTGTATGCGAGACGATTTCGAGTCGATCGTCACACCATGACGATAGATCATAAGAGACTTCTGTGAGTTCGAAAGTAAACGATAATCGAGCGCATATAAAATCTCTTTCATATTGCATTTGAATCTTTTTTCAGAAAATGTTCTATTTAAGTATTCGATTTAATAGGAAGTGGATAAAAATAATTGTACAAAATGAATTATGAAAAGAATATATTTTTAAAATATTTAAAACTTTTAAGGCTTTTATAAATTTTTTATAAGTTTTGGGATATATTCAAAACTTTCCGAAATTTTTGTCATATATCCCAAGTCATTATTTTTTTCTAGTATATTGTACTTGAGTAACTTGATTTTGCTGCTTGCTTTTGCATTGTGTATTAATTTTCACATGATTTGAAAATTATCGTTACTCTCTTTGCTTTTACGAATATGCGTTAACATAATGAAGATTTATTATAATAATTATAACAATCCATCTTTTTTATCTTTTTTATTTATGTATTTATTTTAAACTGTTTTATTTTTAATTATACCTGTAAATTTAATAACATTATAGATATAAATATTTAGATAAATAAACATTATATGA